GTGCCTTAGCATAGCTTCCAGGAGGATCTATTCCATGATCTTGCCAGGCACAGAGGTGAGACTGACTGGCCTGTAGTTCCCTGGGTCTACTTTTTCTCCCTTTTTAAAAACGGGGGTTATGTTTCTCCTTTTCCAGTCAGTGGGGACTTCACCGGACTGCCACGACTTCTCAAATACGATGGACAGTGGCCGAACCTGATGTTCTCCCACAGTGGGCGGCTCTTCATTCTCCCAGTCCCCGCCTTTGCATTCTGCGGCTTGGGCGGTGAGGCTCAAGCACTTGCCAGTGAAGATCGAGGCAAAAAAGTCATTGAGTACCTTATGCTTTTTTTCAATTATACATCTCATTGCTTAGAGGCAGAAAGAGTTATTCTAAAGGTATTTGCTTAGGTTTTCGTAGAAGAGTTATTTCCTATCGAAAAGCAATGAAGATTTTGAAATTATCCATTGAGTTGAATAAATCAGTTTAGTCTTTATACAGAGCTGCTGCAAATGGTGAGAAAGAAGTCTGGTGCTTGTGGGAAACGCTATCTTGAGCAGACCCTTGATTGAGGTGTAATCAAGGCAGGGCTTGTATCTCCTGTCATAACAACTAAGAGTACAGAACCAAGTTGTTTCATGCTTTAAAATGCCATCTGTTTTTTTTAATTTGGCAGCCAAGGAGGGAGCAGAGAAGAAAGCCAAAACCTGATTTACTCTTTTCAGTCAGAGAAGAGGCTTAGTCAAATAAAAGAGACAGCATACACCTCTCCAGCCAGGACAACAGCCATGGGCAGAGCTGGGGCACGGTGGTGACGTGGGTTGCAGTAGTGCCCGGGAGCCTGAGCACAGAAGAGCATGCCAGTGCTGCAGGGCTGTGCTGTGTCATTCACCTGTAGTGTGCTTTTACCTGCTTTTACAGCATCGTGCCGTTTTAGGAAGTTGTAGTAGTATTACTTCATAGAAGGGACAAGTTTGGTAAGTGCCCACCTAAAGAAAGGAGGGGGTTCATAGTTTAGGAGACAGTAGAGAAGCCACACAAGAGATACCCTGTCTCAGACACTGGTGTTGATCAGCAAGAGTTTCATAAGGTTGTGGTACCCACCGTACGCACACCACGTTAGATGTTAGTGCTCCTGGAGGGCTCCATCTTTCTGTTGTGCAGGTTTACACGCTGCCTTTCCCTCTGTCCAAGCGGCAGGGTACATCGTGTTGTTTCCTCTCTGCCATCGCTGTGCTCTTTGTGGTGGGTTGTGTGTTTGTCCTTAAGGCTGTCCTCAACAGTGCCACGGAGCAGTGGGGAATCAAAGTGGCCCGAGTGGAGATCAAAGATGTCAGGATTCCTGTGGCCATGCAGAGGGCAATGGCAGCTGAAGCAGAGGCTGCTCGAGAGGCAAAAGCTAAGGTGAGACCCATGGCAATGTCTACCTCCAAGCTCCCGTATCCTTGTCCCAGGCATCCAAGCGCCTGTTTGTTTTCTCCTCATTGTAAAGGTGGATTTTCCCCACTATGGGCAGTGTCGCAACGTGGTTTCCATTTCTCTTACTTTGCAGATTGTGGCAGCAGAGGGAGAAATGAATGCTTCTAAAGCCCTCAAGCAGGCCTCCGTGGTGCTGGCTGAGTCTCCAGCAGGTCTTCAGCTGCGCTACCTGCAAACGTTAACAACCTTGGCAGCAGAGAATAATTCCACCATTGTCTTCCCTCTCCCTATAAACATGCTTGAGAGTTTCAGGCAGAAAAATACAGGGGGATAGAGACTGTTCTACACTAGCTCCTTGGGCACAGAGATTTAAAGTGTTTCCCAGGAAGTAGGGAGTTCCAGATTACCAGAATTAAAGTAGAAGCATGCTTTGGTCCTCTCTACTAAAAATAAGAGTAAAAATAGTTTAATAACCACACATAGCTCCCACATTAGGAGACTGCATTTGCAAAGTTCAGGCACTAAGCAGTTTCAGCTTGGAGTCATCTCCAAGTGAAATGGAGGAAAATATGTAAAATGCAATAAAAGATGTAAAATGCATGTTAGACCTAATATGAAATTTTAATAATGCTTTCACCACATTTTACAGAGTCTTGAGTGTAGCAGTTATTTGGTGATTTGTCTGCTAAGCAAGAACCTCTGAGCTCTTGATGTACTCCATACAGCAAAAGGGCCAGATACTGGTATTTAACTCAAGTCCGGTGGAGTGAAAAGAAGGATTTGGCCCATAACCTTAGAGGCATTCTTTCATAACTATTAACAGAATTACTGGATAATTGGTATGTCAGTAGAACAGCCTATTCTTTCTCTTATATGAGTAAAAATTAGCAGTTCTATGGATTTTGCCATATCACTGACATTTCTATAAGCTCTTAATAAAAGGAAGAGAATGTATGCCCGTGCATTACAGTCACATTTCCTAAATCTGAAAGCTGGGTGTGGTGGGTTGACCTTGACTGGACACCAGGTGCCCACCAAAGCCGCTCTATCATGCCTCCCTCCTCAACTGGACAGGGGGAGAAAAAAATACAACAAAAGGCTCATAGATCGAGATAAAGACAGGGAGATCACTTACCAATTACCGTCATGGGCAAAACAGACTCGACTTGGGGAAATTAATTTAATTTATTACCAATCAAAAATCAGCGTGGGATAATGAGAAATAAAACCAAATCTTAAAATACCTTCCCCCCACCCTCCCTTCTTCCTGGTCTCAACTTCACCCCCGATTTTCTCTACCTCCTCCCTCCGAGTGGCGCAGGGGGATGGGGAATGGGGGTTGTTGTTCATCACACATCTGTCTCTGCTGCTCCTTCCTCCTCACACTCTTCCCCTGCTCCAGCGTGGGGTCCCTCCCACGGGAGACAGTCCTCCATGAACTTCTCCTATCATGCGTCCTTCCCACGGGCTGCAGTTCTTCACGAACTGCTCCAGCGTGGGTCCTTTCCACGGGGTGCAG